AAAGTTATTTAGAAAAGCCAAATTCTCAGTCAACACAATATTTAGTGTGCCCTACTGGCATGAAATTTATCATGTTTTATCGTTATGGGGTCCGGTTGAAATTCAGGCGCAGGACGGCAAGTGCCAAATTATCCCAGGAATTGGAACGGTTGTTTGCCACGTTCTGTCTTCGTCGCGGGGTTCTGAGTCTGCCCCATAGACTTCATCCGCTGCATTCGGTATCGCACGGAACGTTTGGCAGAGGTCGTACGTCTGCAGATACATGCCGGCATATGATGATCATGGCGGTTTTGCATCTTGCATCAGTATGGTAGTTTAGTCTGCATTATACCAATGATGGTCGACGCACACTTAGTTTATCTCTACCAGAGGAACCATTACGGTTAATTTTCATTGTGCCAGCAAAAGAGTCGCCAGAGTGCTCGCGTTTTGGCAGGCCAATAAATCAAGCTCCTTACTTCGATTTCTCTGGCAACGGACGGAACAAATTGCTAGTTTTTTTCAATCATAAAGCGTCGGTGTAAAATGACTTTAAGAATGCACGACAGCGCGCCTTGTAATGTGGGATCAACGTGGACGCTCAATGATGGATGACGATTTAATGCAGATTTATTTCGCAGACAAAGGTTTTGGGTGTTTCCAATTCATTTTTATGTCAGATTTTGACTCGAACCATTCATACTTAACTCGTCCAAAGGCTAGCATTCTACATTGTAGCACATATGATAGAATTAGCCGCTTTAACTATTAATACCAGGCCCGCTTAGCTGCTCAGCTTAGGCACCCATAAATTTGTCTAAGGTTTAGCTAACAGGCTCGACATGCAAAAAAGCCACTTTGTACCGCACATGGTTTTAAAAAGTTGTTACAATTATATTACTCGGATCTTCTTTCCGTTGTAGGAGAGGTGGTTGAATATATATGATGACATCGATGAGTTAGGCTATTGTCTATTTTCTTGCGAAGTTAGAGATAAGAGGGGCGGACAAGTATTTTAGGCTCACTATCTTTTGCAAACACCCCCCCATACACATTCCTCGTCCCAGCCCTTATGTGACTTTTATTACAGTCCCTACTAGGTGAAAGTAGACTGTACGTTAATAGATTTAACGGCATATGTAATAATCAGGATAATAATAAGTTGAGATTTGATAATGTATATATTGATATATATGAAGAAGATAAGTCATAAGAGAAGGATAGGCCCAGTTACGGCAAGGTGGGATATACATATTAGTCTATTCCAGGATATAAGACCACACAAAATAATAATTAAAGTATATATAATAATATATAATAATTTATAATAAATAAATTATAAAATAATTTTAAAAAAATTAAGAAATAATAAAACAGATTTGAATTAATATTAAAGAGAATGAAATTAAAGGTTAAGACATCTTCTTCTCTAGTCAGATTACCATAGTCCGTTATGAATGGCCCAATTCTGTGGATATAGAAACACATCATTATTTTTTATACTTCATTTGTATACATGGAATAGAAAAGTCAGGTTGAATTAGTTAATTATACATTGAATTTTTTGTTTAATATATATATATAAAGAAACAATAATATTACATTTTTCTATATAAAATAAATACATATAATACATTCCATATTCATAACTATACATAAATATCATTATAAATTGATATTCAACATATTCAATTGTTCAAATGCAGCTTTGAAGCAAGGGTCATATCAGCTTTTTAACTCGTTTTACGTTTAATTAATTATCACGTTATTCGTTTGATCCAGTATATGTATATATTACTAGCTAATATTTTTTCATTTGTCCTACATTTACATTTAGTCCTCGTATTGTTGTATAATTTTGTCTCCTCGTGTTATCGGAAGACTTTCTCGGGAAGTCGTCAGCTTGGTGTCGCCATATATTCTCTACCCCAGTCAACCACGCCGTTATAGCTACGACACACGCCACGCAACAAGCAACCGTGATCAGATCTTTACGGTCTACCACACACGCATCACTCGAGACACAAATTCCGCCTGTCAAGGGTAGATATACAGCTTATCCAGTCACAAATCACTCACCACACCCACGATACGTTCGATCACTACTCCACCGGCCCAGGTCCGTGGCGCGACGCAACACACGAGCAACACACACGCACGCATCGCCCATAGAACATCGCATGCAGGATTACACTGCGCTATGCTCAGGCTCAACACAGCTCCTTCGACACGGCGAACGCGCGACGGCTGTCGGAAGGTAGGGCGCGATCGCTCTCAAATCATTTAATGACTGCAGTCAACAGTCTCACGAGCAACACCTAATCTCATCTCACACAGACACATACACCAAGACTGCACGGACAGTCAGCAATAACATTACCTGCGACAGAATACTCTAACCACCTATCTCTGCGAATCCATACATCAACAACACCTCACATAGACTTCAGCTCGCGTGTAATTTGAGGTTGTAGATTAATAGCCGGTAGAAATAGTCACCATAGTCAAACTTAATGCCTAGTTCATAGTTGTACAGTATTCTACTATACTATACGTCTCGTCAGTTGGTACGATGCTTCAGTGCGCTTCCAGACCCAGTCATAAATCACCTCTAAGTCGGACACTCGCACCCTCTACTCTGTTTCCTGTGTCGACTACTCCGTTTCTTTGTTACCTTCTTGTCTACATCCTGCTTGTTGCTATTCTTATCAGCGGGATTCGATTACTCACTCTTGGTGAAGCTCATATGCCTCGCACTCGAGCAGCCTAACACATTTACATCTTATTGACCAAAGTGCATTTCCATGCCAATTTAGCATTAAATTGGAAGAGCAAGTATCATTCGCGCTAAGGCTTCTTTCGCTCTCAGGGAATTCGTTTCTCGCATTCTCCGGGAAACTAGCAACATTGAGAACGCGATCTCGCAGTTTAATAGTACTTCTCTCACGTCGGGTAGTGTGTCACTTCTCCATTAATTGGGATTTTCGTTTTATAATAAGTAGAACTAAGCTGTGATATGCTTTCCATAAAAATTTAAATTGATCTGAACTTTCCGACCAAGATCATCCACGAGCATCGATGTTCACGTCAAAAAATGGTTTTCTGCAAAATAAAGAACTATATCAATAAAGACAAAGTGTCTTTCGTAACTAAGAGTTATTAACTTTTAGTGTGTGTTGTGGTGGTGGCGTTTCTATTGTAACAAGAGTAACTCGTGGCGTTTCTATTGTAACAAGGTACGCCAATAAATCATCAAAGCTAAACAGCATTATTATAAAAAGAAAATTTAGCATCTAAAAAAATCTAATCCGCGTAAGTGGCATACAGAAATCCGAGACATGGCGAACATGAGCAAATCAACAGTAACTATCTAAGTTCCTGGAATCGATCCAAGTGACACATCATCAATAGCTGAAAAGATAAACGATTCTTTCTCTGCTGTTACGCGACTTCTTCCTCCTCTCGACTACAATAGTCTTCCAAGTTTCCTTCCTGCACTCCCACCACCAACAGTGGAGGAGTGGCAAGTCTACCGTCATTTACTGAAGATAGACATTAATAAATCTGGAGGACCTGACAACCTTCCGCCACGTCTAATTAGAGAATTCGCTGCTGAGTTAGCGGCACCCCTGGCTGCTGTAATCAACGCATCTCTTCTGCAGGGCTGTGTACTTCAAGCTTGAAAACAGGCGATCGTATGCCCTATACCAAAAGTGTACCCTCCTTCCATTGATGAACTAAGGCCAATCTCTCTAACCTGCACTTTCGCTAAAATAGCAGAGAACTTCGTCTACACGTGGATCATGGACGACATCCAGCATAAAATTGATTTACGCCAGTTTGGCTCCATACCCAAGTCTTCAACAGTTCATTACCTCATCAGCATATTGGACTATCTGTACAGAAAAGCAGAAAAACGCAACAATATAAGCTCAGCATAGCAATTAACCTGATATGTCACACAACACTGCTAAAAAAATCCCATATATTAGGAGTCAGACCGTTACTACTACCGTGGATAAGCGATTTCCTCTCTATGAGGCAATAATTAATGCGTCCGGTACAAATGGTCTACCTCCAAGTACCAGGGGTTAACATGACTGTGGTGTTCCCCAGGGCACTAAGCTTGGCCCGCTACTGTTTTTGGTCATGATCAATGATGCTGCTGAAAGACTATTAGTTCAGAAATGGTAATACTTTGACGATATGACACTGCTGGAGACAAGGTCGACCCACGCTCCGTCATGTCTCAACGGCTTTCTCGCATCTATCCAGCGTTGGGCATTTTTAAATAAAATAAAACTTAACCGTGCGAAATGCAAAGTTAGGCAGGTGTACTTTAGTAGAAATAGACCTCAAGATGCCTAACTTTTTTTAGAACATTTTCAGTTGGAGAACTTGACAACTTTGAAGATCCTGGGTGTATGGGTCCAGCACGATCTTAAATGGGCAATACATGTTCAAGATTTGGTGGCTAGAGCCAGTAAAAGAATGTTCATGCTTCGTATACTAAAAAAATCTAGGCTTAGCTGTGAATATCGCGTACAAATTTACTGTAGTTACGTCAGACCGATTCTGGAATATATGCTGCACCCGTCTGGCACCCGGGCCTTAACAAAGAGCTTTCACGCCCAATTGAATCTGTTCAAGTAAGGGCAGTAAAAATAATAATAGGTTATAACAATTGGAATAGGTACGACATGTACGATGAGGTACTATTACAGCTTCACATCCAAAGACGTGCGTTTCGTCGCGAGCAGCTTTGATAAAATGTTGCTTATCAGCTCAAAAGTAGGTAACCGATTACAGGATATTTGCCCTCCTTCAGCAATAAATGTGTCTAACCCGCATCTATACTATAATTTGGCTAATCTTGTGTGTGTGTGTGTGTGTGTGTGTGTATGGTGTGCGCGCGCTCCACTCCACCCATACACACACACGCACAAACAAACATACAAAAGACAGACCACACATAGATAAGATCATATAATCGTGGATTTCACAAAGAGAAAGCGCACAGCTCATGTCAACCCTTTTAGGTTCTTACCTGCCGTCAACGGACCGGAAAGAACTCCTATGCCATCGAAGAGCAAGTAGATAGATTGTATCATCGGTAGATTCTGTATGCCGTATAGGTGTACTAGAATAGTTGTCTGCATGCTTGTTTTTATCCCAAAGCTGCACCCGTACAGTAGGCAGCAAAGTGCAAACACCCAAGGTTTCTCCGCGCGCAGAAACAAGAGGCTAGCGATCCCACCCGCAAAGGTCGTGATGGCAAACACCAGATGGCGCGGGAACCATCGCCTGCCTCCGACTGCTGCCACTAGGCGGCGGCTGATGACATTGCTAACATGCAGCAAGGTGATCATCTGAGCAGCTCGCGCGAGACTCATGCCCTGCCTGGTGCCGTACAGCACATAGAACGTCAGCCATATTGCCTCGCAGAATCCGTACGCTAAGCTACCCAAGCAGTAAACTCCGAATTTGATCATGTCGGCGGCAGGCATGAACGGTTGCCCCTTCCCGCTTCTGAGTCTGCCCATAGCTTCATCCGCTGCATTCGGTATCGCACGGAACGTGGCAGAGGTCGCTACCGTCTGCAGATACATGCCGGCTATGATGATCATGGCGCCTTTTCAGTTGTAGTATACCAAGATGGCGACGCACAGTACAGGACCGGTTAGTGCGCCAAGGGCGGTCGCCGTGTGCAGCAAACCCATCGGCAGGGAAAGTTTTTTGTCGAAGTAGAGGGCGCCTATGATCTGCGAGGGTGTGTGAACCATTTCTCTCCCAAAGCCTGCATACATCACATAATGATACCTACTATTAATACAGGAGCGTAGCTAACCCATTTTGTCTGGTGGGGAATGCAAAGCCACGTGCATGGTGTGTTCCGGGAAGGTGGCTGATATTGAGCATGTATTGTATCTATTTTTGGGGGGAGGGGGCAATTGCCCTTTTGCAACCCCCCTCCTCCCCCAGCTAACTATACAGTCCTGTAATAATGATAATAGTAATAATAATAATAATAAT